AATAAAATGTTATAAAAAGTAATGCTATTTACTGTTGCTTCTTTATCCTTTTCTTATCTCAGCAGTTATGCTAATTATAGGTTAATTGGTCAGCTTGATTTATCTTTGTCTCCATCTGCAATATAAATTTTTATTCACGATTCACTTTGTTTAAAAAGGAATTGAGGGTAGAAACAGTCAGAGGAAAGTCGATAGGACATGAGGCATGGGTCGGGGTCAGATTGGTTTGTTCTTATGACCTCAGTTTTGGTGCTTAGCTTTCTAGGAGGTGGCTGGAGCTTACACACAACAGCCCCAGTAGTTGGGGAGATGCTGGTCTCACCGGTTGTGGATGGGTCACAGCTAGGGCGTCTGCTCGCGGTGGGATCCCACCATAGTCACCCACATAGGTGGCAATGGAAGGAGGCTGAGGATGCTGCTCTGGAGAGCACCGGGTCACTCTGTGGTATGAACTTCATGCCTGGCATTTTCACCTGGGGTTTTGGGTGCTGTCTCAAAGACTCCCTTTCATCACTCAGGAGGATATAAGGGTGATATGGATAACTTAAGGTTACCTGTTTTCTTCAGTGAAAATGATTCACCCATTAGTTTCTCCATGATGACTACTGGTGGGTGATTTCCAACCTTCCTCTGGGGACAGTGATGGCCCAGGGAGTGTCTGAAACCCATGCTTGAGACAAGTGGAGAACAGCTAGTTTGCATGGCTTCAGGTGGCCTCAGATACCTTCCCCACAACCAGGCCTTTTGTGGGAGTGAGACGCAGTGGGCTGGAGACCCTGTGTCTTTGATGCCCTCTCTGGTTCTTGGGAGGGGGTAGAGAAGTGGGAACTATTCTTGGACCATCCAGGAACAGGTGAGCACTGAAACAGCCCATGGTGGCCAGAATACTTTAAAAAAAAAAAAAAAAAAGTGCCAGTGACCTGTTGGATGATCTTGTGTGGTCCAACATGCATATGATTGGAGTCTCACAGAATGGGGTGGGAGGGAGGCAGAAAAACATCTGAGTAATCATGGCTGAAATTTTTCCAGATATGGAATATATAAACCCATAGATCTGTGATGCTCAGCAGACACAGAACAATCACACAGACGAAACATGCCAAAACCAAAACCTCCTCCAGAGCACATCATGAGTTGATGAAAACCAGTGATGAATAAAGGTTTAAAAGCAATCAAAAACAGACATGTTATATACAGGTGAACAAAGGGAAGGACAGCTGACTTCTCATCAGGTAAAATGCAAACCAGAAGGCATTGCTGCATGACGTCTTTATAAAGTATTAAAAGGGAAAAAGGCAAAGTAGACCCTTGCCAGACAAACCAAAACTGAAGGAATTCTCCAGCAGCCTTGCCCTACAAGAAACGTTGTTTGGGCCCAAGGATAGTGACAACCAGGTGGAAACTGATCTGCACCAAAGAATGAGGCCCAGAAATGTTACGTGTAGAAGGCTTTTTCCCCTTTGTTAAAAACAAGCATACAAACAAAAACCTCTTTAAAATAGAATTAACTTTTAAAGGCAAAAACAAGAATGTGAACACGGACAAGAAATGTGCTGGAGGACAACGGCAGATGCTCAGATGCTGCCGAGAAGGCTCCCCTTGTGTGTCAAGTGCTGCGTCCCCAAGTGACAGTATTTACCAGGACACAGATTGTTGTAAGTAAAAGGAACCTATTGTGAACCCAGAGTAAACCACTAAAAAAAAGAAAGGGGGTATAGCTAGAAAACTGATAAAGGGGACAAAATAATCCCAAAGGAGACAGGAAGAAAGAACAGACAGGACGATAGAAAATGTGATAAACCTAACTCTTGTGGACTGGATTGTGTCTCCCAACATTCATTTGGAAGAAAAGGACCTAAATTTGGATATGGGGCCTTTCAGAAGATAATAAGGTTAAATGAAGTCACAGGGTGGCTCTGATCTGATAGGACTGGTGTCCTAAGAAGAGATGAGGGGACACACAGGAACGACCACGTGAGGACAGAACTCTGCCCACACCTGATTCTCAGGTTTTGTGCTTTCAGAACTGTAAGAAAATAAATTTCTGTTGTTAAAACCACCCAGTCTGCTGTTTTGTTAGGTAGCCCTAGAAAACTGCCGCACCAACCATTTAAGTAATTTTACTAATTGAAGGACCAAGTGCTCTAGTTAAAAGCAGAAACTGTCACATTGAATGAAAAAGCATGACTCGTGTGTTGTCCGTGAGAAATCTTAAATGCAAAAATACAGGATAAAAGGACTAGTTTAGAAAACTATATGAAAAAACATTAATCATAAGGAAAAGTACTCTGTTAATATAAGGTAGGTTTCAGGAAAAGGAATGGTACTAGAAGCGAAGAGTCATTTAATAACAGTAATGCGTATGCCCTAATAACAGCTTCAGAATATGAAAAACGAAAATGGGCAGAGGGAGAGGGAATCCGATAAAGTGGGAGATTTTAACATTGTCTCAACAGGAACAATCCTGAGTAGACAAAATCTTGAGCCAACTTGAAGTGATGGACATTTATGGAACACTTCACCTAACATTCTTTTTCAAGAGCTTATGACCCATCATTCACTAATACCACATGCGGGGTGAGGAAATTTGGAAGGATTGAAGCCATACAGTGTATTCTCCAACTGTAATGGAATGAAATTAAAAATCAGCGACAAAAAGAATACTTGGCAGGGGAGCTACCATTGCACTCCGAATGTGCTGACCCCTGCGATTTCCCCAAATGTAGGAAACTTGACTGCATAATTTGTGATGGGGGAAAAAAAGAGAAAATCCCAAATATCTGGAAATTAAGCATTATACTTCTAAATAGCCAATGATCAATAAATGAAAGTACAAGGGAAATAAAATATTTCAAGCTAAGTGAAAAAAATGACATCGAAATTTGTGGGATGTATCTAAAGCAGTGGTCATAGAAATGGTTACAGGCTGAAATATTAACACTATATAAGGTTTCAAATCTGTGATTTAAATGTCCACCTTAAGAATTTTAAAACCAGGGGCACCTGGGTGGCTCAGTCGGTTAAGCGTCCGACTTTGGCTCAGGTCATGATCTCCAGTTCATGGGTTTGAGCCCTGCATCAGACTGCCTTGACAGCTCAGAGCCTGGAGCATGCTTCAGATTGTGCTTCCCTCTCTCTCTGCCCCTCCCCTGCTCATGCTCGCGCTCTCTCTCTCTCTCTCTCTCTCTCTCTTTCTCTCTGTGCCCCTTCCTGACTCACACTCTGTCTCTCTCTCAAAAATAAAAAAAATTTAAAAAAAATCTTAAAACCAGAGTAAGTAGAAGGAAGGAAATACCAGATAAAAGAGCACAAGTCAAATGCTGTAAGAAACATAACAGAGGAGATCAGTGAAGTTGATGCTTGGAGAAACTTAACAAGCCTCTGGTCTGATCCAGAAAGAAAGGACACCTACAGCAGGCATTAAAAAGGTGCATTGCCACAGGTCCCGCAGACAGCAGGCAGTATCCAGCCTGGTTACCCCCAGGCCTACTGACCTGGCGTGGTCCGCTTGAGCTCACCGTGCTGCTGCCTCTCTGCATCCCACTGCTCGCACTGCCTGGCTTGCTGTGCCTGGCTTGCTGATCCTTATGTCCTGCTGCACACACCTGCTGGCGCTGCTGCTCCACGTTCACGTTAGGTTTTCTGCTGTGGCCGTGCGGTCTGTCCTCAGAGGCATGAGACCACAGAGTACAATGAGAGAATGTCGTGGGGTGCTCAGTGCCAGTGTTCCACAGCGCAGACACGGAAAAAATCCCCTGAAAGACACGGTTATTATATAGGTGTTCCTGAGAAGAAGTGGGAAATTTAAATCACCCTGTATCTATTTTAGAAATTAATTTGAAATTTAAAACTTTCCTAGAAGAAAGCTCTAGTCTCAGATGGCTTCCTGGTGAGTTTTGTCAATCATTTAAGACAAATAACAATCTAACACAAATACCCAGACATTCGAGGAGGAGAGAACATTTTGTGACTCCTTTGAGAGGGTGTGACCTTGATAGAAAACCAGATCAAGACATTACTGGAAAAGGAAATACAGATCAACTTCCCCACACAAATACAGAAAATATTTAACAGACTACTAGCAAGTGGAACCCAGTGATAAAAGAATGGTGCATCATGATCAGAAAATTGGCAGAGGGTGATGGTCCTGTGGCTGGAGGGGATATGATTTCCATAGGGTTTTCTAGGGGTTGTAAGAAATGGCATTTTAAATGCCATGGTGTAGGGGGGATGCTTTCATGTCCCAGGGCCTTGCTCTTAGGGGTTTCGAGGGGAGACATCCATCCTCCGTCCTGGGAGCTCCTGCACACCCTTGCTTAGTGGGCACTACCCATGTCCCCGCTGTCCTTGTCTGATGTGAGAGGCTGTGGGTCCAGACACTGGGCCTGTTTCAGGTTGCATGAGGTACGTTTGGGACTTAGAAATCCTCTTTCCCAGGGGTGCCTGGGTTAAGCGTCCGGCTTTGGCTCATGATCTCACGGTTTGTGAGTTTGAGCCCTGCATCACACTCTGTGCTGACAGTTCAGAGCCTGGAGCCTGCTTTGGATTCTGTGTCTCCCTCTCTCTCTCTGCCCTTCTACTACTCACACTCTCTTTCTCTCAAAAATAAATAAGCATTTTAAAAAGTTAAAAAAGAAAAAAAAATCTTTTCCACAAAACCCGACTCAAGGCTTTCTCTCCTTGAAGGAACCTTATGCTAACTTGGCAGTCTGGGGAAAATAATGGCTTTGTTCTACCTGTACCCCGAGTGCCCTTGATGGGGCATGGGGAACCCTGGATGTTGGGGCTGAAGGATGGAGGATATGCTGGTTCCTTGTTTGGACTCTATCCCTTCCCAAGAGGATCAGGACATGACCTCTCTGGTGCCTCAACGGCTGCCAAGAAGCACGACCAAGAACTCCAGAGCCAGGAAACAGTGCTGAGTGCATTTATTGCCCTCAGTAGTTAGTTGGAAGAGCGGGTGTTGGGGTGGCTTTGTGGTGGTCCCACTACCCGAGGACCAAAATCTGCACCCTGGCAGGACTCCACAAGCACAGGTCTGTGTGTGATTGGTCCGCACAGCCCTTGTGCCCGGTCGGGGGGAGTCTTCAGTTAGGTCCAGTAACAGTCAGTGTTCCGGTCGCTCAGGGCTCACAGTCCAGCCCTTCTTACGAGGGAAGTGTGGTCAGCAGGCTGCCTCCAACTGCCAGCCCCTTCAGATCAGAGCCCTCCTGGAGTCCACGGGGCTTGTGGGCTGTTGGGGGCACCCGAGCTCCCCTCCCTCTGCCCCACTGCCCCTTTTTCTTAAAGTGTGTGTCCCAGGTGCGCACCCTAATACGTGTCTGCACACCAGACACCGGCCTCGGTTCTGGGGGATCCCGCTTACCCCCCGGAATGGGGAGCCACTCATGGGCAGAGACACCATGAGTCAGGCGGAGTAAAGGCAGAATCCCCCTGAGGTCTGCACATGCCACACGGTGTGGATGGCCTGGTGCTCCCCTCAGCCCAGTGCTCTGGCTGTTGCTAGAAGGTGCCGGAACATTCCTCTCTTGAGCTGGCTGCCCTCCCCTCAAGACCCGTCCTCATTCCTCCTGTCCGTTCCCTGTGTTCTTGGCACTCACTCTTGGTGGGAGGTGTTGCTCTGTGGGCACCGGCACAGGTGAGGTCTGTGGGTGCAGCAGGTGGGACGGGCGACGGCCGGGGTGGCACTGGCTCTTTAAGGGCGACATCACAAGGCTGCGGAAGGCCAGGCAGTGGTGGAACTCCAGGGCTGTTTCTGGAGCGTCTACGGCACTGGATTTCCACCTCCATGGGGCTGCAGGCCCATACGTGAGCACCTAAAGACGTGGCCATGGCCGAGGGGAGTGAGCTGATGAACAGGCTCATGAGTGAGAATGCAGACCTGAAGAAGCAGGTGCGCCTCATGAAGGAGAACCAGATGCTGAAGCGTCTGCTCAGCGAGAGCTGCCAGGAGCGCTGTGGCCTTGGGAGCCGGGACCTGCCCTTCCCCAAGGCACCCGCCTACCCCGAGGACAGCTCCCCCGGGAGCGCAGGTGAGGCTACAGGCAGGACAGCAGGGCCCAGCTGGCTGCTGGGGTCCAGGAGCCGTGGTGAGGCCGTTGTGCCCCGGCAGGGGCCTTGTTCGGTGATGCCGGTGGTCTCGGGCCCCTTCCCATCCCTGAGGTCTGAGTAAACCAAGACCCAGTTCCCCATTCTCCTGTGTGTCCTCAGGTAAGGCCCTCTGGGCCACGAAGCCACATCTAGAAAATGGGGTGGGGGTTAGCCCCCCACCTCACTAGCGGCTACTCACCAGCCCCCTGCACAGAGCTCATGGATGCAAAGCCCCTTGGGCAAACATGTCCTTGGGGTCTTTCAGCCTCAAGGAGGACCTTGAAGAGGGAGCTTGGACAAGCAGAGGGTGGGGGTGGAGGATGGCAGAAAGAGGACAATGACGCCCCAAGGGGCAGCTGGAGAAAACCCTATCCCCACCAGTTCTGAATTCCCACCAGAGGCCAAGGCACATGCTTGTCACCAGAAACTTGCTGAAGAGGGACTGACCTCCCAGGACTTGTCACCTGTGTGACATCCCACAGAGGGTCAGTGCTGCCGCCTTGGGCCACCAGGGATGCATTGTGCAGTGGCTGCAAAAGGCACTTGTCACCAAGCCTCATAGGTGCTGTGATTACTGCCAAGAATCAAACCCAGTGTGACTTCATTGTCCTTTGTCCTGAGAACTGGGTCAGGCTGGGGCCACCTCTGAGGGCTCAGAGCCACCCCTGTGTCAGTACTGGCAGGAATGCTGAGGCCCTCCCTCTCTCACCTTCCCTCCCATGCCTGGTTAGTAGAGGTGCGGACTCACAAGGGTCGGGCTGCTCCTGGAGAGACCCTGGTCAGGGCCTAGGTCAGGGCAGAGTCTCTGGGACCACAACCAGCACCCCTGCCTGTGGGTCACCCCTAGCAATCCCAGACTTTTGCTAGACACCAGTCTTAGCAGGAGCTCCAGTCCCCTGGGCCAGCCCAACACCACCAAGCCTTCCACACGGAGGCCTGGAGCCCTTGCTGCAGGGTGTGGGCCAACGTCAGCATGGCTGATCATCCTCAGGGAGGGGCCACCCCCATGCCCGGGGCTCTGGGACACTGCCTTCGGGCCTGGCCACAACCCTCAGCCTTCTTTGGGGACTGGAGTTTGGAATGACTCTTAACACAGCAGCAGACATTTGTGAACAGAAGGGAACTGCCACCAGCAATGGCTCATGTTTCCCACGGGCCCTTAACATCTGCCTTCAACGCAGGATGTGCTTTAAAAACCTTTCTTCATTCAACAACAGGAGCTCCTGGCAAACTTATAAATACCCCAAGAGGATGTAACATACAAGGCCAAGCTCGTGCTCCTGGCCCTGCTCCCAAAGGGAGCCACTGTCAACATTTTCTTGGGTTTCTGTCTGAAATTTGTGGTGGATATTCATGCGCACATCGGGGGATCTTCTGGGTTCCCCTAAACACGGTTGAACTGTTCTATACTTTGCCCCTTCCGTCCACCTTACTTTTGTCACCTGGAGGTCCTCTTTTCTAGATCCAGGGCCTGCACTCCAGCTCTGGAGCGACTCTCGGGGTGGAGGGCAGGGGTTCCCCACAACAGCAGCCCGGCGCCAGGCCAGGCGGTGCCCTCCAGCCCCCTGCCACCTGCCATTGGGGTAACGGCCGGGAAATCCTTGGGTCAAAGGCCCTGTGCTGTTGAAATAGATGCTGCTGTGTCCTCTGCACCCTTCCAGTGCCCTCCTGACCCACAGGACCACGCACAGTGGCTAGGCTCGCACACCAGCCTCTTCCTCAGCTGCCTGTGTGCCCTGTGTGCTACGCTTGTTAGTTTGGTCTGTTTTCTGAGTCTACAACCGCACTGTGTGCAAATGATTTAAATGAGATCGACAGTGTGTATACTTGTTAATTTTGCCTTTGTCTTTGCCCTTGGTATTCCCAGAACCCTGGCTCTGGTGGCAGTTGGGCCTGGGGGTGGAGGGGCATGCAGGCTAGGTGCTGGGAGGATCCTTCTAGTCCTTCTTTTTAAAGAACAAGAAAAATTGAGAAACAGCTTGTTTTGTTCAGTTTCCATGACCTTGTTTGGCCTTGGTAGGGTGCCCTCAGCTCCTGCCCTTGGCCTGCTCCATCGGGAGGCCCGGGCTCCTGTTGTCTGTCCTGGTGTTCGCTAGGATGGGTCTTTGCTCAGGATCTGGGGACTCTGTTCCTACCTGGATCTGGGGTTTGGTCTTCTTTCTGTGGGATCTCTGTTTGGGGATTTGATACCAGACTTGTGACCAGTTATAATCTCAATCAAGAAGCATCTTTTAATTTTTTTCAGTGTTCTAACCTTATTTATGTAATATAGGGATTCAGAATCATTTGGAGCCTGAAAGAATTTACCACTAGGCCCCCAGGCCTGCAGCCCTCAGAGCATAATTGTTTTATAACTTCTAGATTTTTCTTCTTTGCTTACTGGTCCATTTAGTTTTTCTACTTCTTACTGAGTCATTTAAAAATAATTTCCCGCAAGAGTTCTCCTGTTACTGAAATCTTAGTGACGATGCAGTTGTGTATAATGGTTGCTTGTAACTCAGACCTCTTCCTGGTCTTTCTTATGTTGCTTTTCTCATTTCCAATTTTATTTCTTCATGTTTTCTGTTTCCCTAAGGTAGTTTTCCACAGTTTCATGGTCTTGTAGACTTTCACAGAACTGTCTGCGGTGTATTTCGCGGTCGTGTTCATTGTTTTCTTAAGAGCTCCTCTTCATATCTTGATTTGAATGTTTAATTTTGAGATGATTTTTATTTATTTATTTATTTATTTATTTATTTATTTATTAATTTTTTAACGTTTATTTGTTTTTGAGACAGAGAGAGACAGAGCCACCCAGGCGCCCCGAGATGATTTTTAAAAAGTAATTGAAGCATTTAAATTACTAATTTCAATCCAAATACAGTCTTAAACGTACTGATGTCTTAATATATAATGTTCTGATTTTCATTATCAATAATGATTGTTTTTTATTATTATTTCTTCCTCGATGTGATCGTTACTTGGGAGAATGCTTTTACTTCTGAGGAAATGCAATTTTCTCCTGGCCACATGGGCAACAGGAGGCAAGACACATCCTAATGGATGTCTTTTTTTGAACATTTTTTTCTGAGAAATCATTGCTGGAGATAGATCAGTTGGTTCCTGAGGAGGCACCTTTTAGGATATAATTTTTCATGATAGCTCTTAAAACACACTATTTCTCAAGTATATATTTACCTTATTGCCAGGAGAACAAGATTATAACATGAGGGTAAGAAAGGATTTTATAAATCAAAAAGAATCGATAAGTTAAAGTTGACTACATTATAATTTAAAACTTCTGCATGAGAGTCAGTATGAAAGAGATTCAGACCTAAGCAAGGCACCCACCGGAAGACACAACACTTTTCATCAACAAGGAATTAGTATGCAGGAGACAAAAAAAGCTGCTACAAATAATTTTAAAGACTACCCCTCCCCCCAAAAAAACAAGCAGAGAAAAGGCAAAGAAAATTCACAGAAAGGAAACCTGAGGGGCCGATGAGCACATGAAATGATGTTCACTATCACTGGGGATTAGGGAAAAGCCATGTGTTGTTTTCTGCCGGGGGACCACTGATGTAGAATACAGAGGAGGTTAAACAGCACACACCTGAGCCCAGTGTAGACAGTATAAACAGCACACACCTTGCCCACTGTGAGCAAGGAGGCACATTAAGGAATGCTGATTATAGCTTTGCTTTTTCAAGGAAAACAGGAATCATCCCCATGCTTATCAACAGGGCAGTGGATATGAAAATTGCTGTGTGTGTGTGTGTGTGTGTGTGTGTGTGCGCACGCGCGCGTGCATGCTCACATGCGTGCATGCATGCATGCCCATGTGTGCCAAAAAATGGTTAAATGTATCAGGTAAGCTACCCAATGATTCAATATGGATGAATTCCCAAAAAAATGCTGCAGCAAAAAGGTATTTTGCAGGATAAAACATGTATAGGATGATACCATTTATGTACATTTAAAAGCATAAGCAAGTCCCTCTGTATTGTGTGTGGGTTCCCAGGTGGGTGGGAAGCGCACGGGGGCACGTGTGCTTGCCATGCCCATAAACTTGAGGCTGGTGGTTTCCTCAGGTGGGCTGGGCACCCACAGTGTCATATTCTCTAGAGGGAGGAGGAGGGCTCTGAAACACGGGGTGGGGTGTCACAGATTGAGGCTGGGTATGTGGATGTTCTTCTGTATTCTCTCCCTCCTTAGGGATGTCTCAGGAACACAGCCTGACCTGCCCTCCCTCCCCATCCCAGGTGCAGACTTTGGAAGGTTCAGTGGCGTCCCTGATGCACCCTCCCAGCTGCAGACGTCCTCCCTGGAGGACCTGCTGTGCTCACATGCCCCCATCTCCAGTGAGGATGACGCCTCCCCTGGCTGTGCCACCTCCTCCCAGGTGCCCTTCAAGGCTTTCCTCAGCCCCCCAGAGCTGCGTGCACCCCGAGGCACTGACAGGAAGCTGTCCCCGCTCCTGAACCCCTTGCAGGACCCACTGGCAGACAAGACCCTGCTGGAGCCCAGGGAGATGGTCCGGCCCAAGAAAGTGTGCTTCTCAGAGAGCAGCCTGCCGTCTGGGGACAGGACGAGAAGGAGCTACTACCTTAACGGTATGGCCCAGGCAGGGGCGGGCACCAGGGTGCAGTAGTCTGGGTGACCAGCTGGGCACAGCTTCTCCATTTTCCTGCAGAGGGAGGAGAGTGTGGCTGGGAGGCCAGGGTCTGGGGCTGCTTCTGTGGACATTTTTTGCCTATTAAAAAAAATGGACTTGCTTATCTTATGATCGAGTTGTCAGAGTTCTACATATATTCTGGATACAAATCCTTTTCTGGGTGTGTGTCTTGCAAATGTTGTCTCCCACTCTCTGGCCTTTCAGTTGCATAAGTGTTCTTTAAAGAGCAAAACTGTTTAATTTGATAAAGTCCAGTTTATTGATTTTTTTTTGTTTTATACAATTCATGTTTTTTGTGTCCTATTTAAGAAATCTTTGTCAAACTCATGGTCACAAAGATTGTTTCCTATGTGTTCTTCTAGAAGTATTATGGCTTTAGATTTTACATATAGGTTTCTGATCAATTTCAAGTCAATTTTTGTGCATTGTTGGCTTCTTCCAACACCAGTGTTTAGAAAGATTATTTTTTCTTCATTGAATTGCCTTGACCCTTTTGTCAAAAATCAACTGTTCATATACGTATAAGTTTATCTCTGGACACCTTCCCCCTGCCATGCTGTGTTATTTGTCTGTGTTGATTCCAGTACATATGGTCTCTATTACTGTAGCTTTAAAGTAAGATCGTCATTCATATAATGTCTTGTTCTCCATTTTCAAAGTTGCCCTGGCTATTGTAGGTCCTTTGCATTTCCACATGAGTTTTAGAATCAACTTGTCCAACTTCGCACAAAAGCTTGCAAGGAGTTTGATTGGGATTGCTCTGGATCTACAGATTGATTAGGTCAGTTTTCAGGGAAATTAACAATTTATTAATAATAACAATATTCAACCTTTGGGTCCGTAAATGCTGTGTGTCTCTCCATTTATGTAGTTCTTTAAACATTTCTTTCAACCGTGTTTATAGTCTTCTATGTATAGATCTTGCACATTTTGATAAATTAATTCTTAGTATTTTTGCATTTTTGATACTATAGGAAGTAGTATTGCCTTTATCATTATCAATTTCTGATTGCTCATTTCTAGTATATAGTAACACAGTTGATTTTTGTGTATTTACTCCTGTGATCCTTAATTTTATTTGTCGACTTGACTGAGCCATGAAAAGAACTACCCAGATAATTGGTCAAACATTCTGGGTGTTTCTGTGAGAGTGTTTCTGGATGAGTTGAACATTTAATAGACTGAGTAAGCACATTGCCCTCTCAGTGTGGGTGGGCTTCATCCCATCACCTCAAGGCCTGAATAGGACAAAAGGGTTGATCCTACCCCAAGGAAGAGAAAATTCCTCCTGCCTGATTGCCTTTGGACCTGAAACATGCCTTGAACTGAAACATGTTCTTGAGTTTCAAGCCTGCAGTGCTCTGGACTGAAACCACACCATTGGTTCTCTTGGTTCTCAGACCTTTAAAGGCAGGCTAGAACAACATTTTCAGTCTCCCTGGATCTCTAGCTTGCTAACTCACCTTGCAGATCTTGAGACTTGTTAGTCTCCATAATCATGTGGGCCAATTTCCTACACACACACACACACACACACACACACACACACACACCCACACACACCCTGTTGGTTCTGTTTCTATTTCTCTGGAGAACCCTGAAAAATAAAAATGTTGTATCTTGCAACCTTACTGAACTCACTTATTTTTTAAAATGTTTTTATTTATTATTTTTGAGGCAGAGTGTCAGGGAGCAGGGAGAAGAGGGAGGCAGACAGAGAATCTGTGCTGTCAGTGCAGAGCCCAATATTGGGCATGAATCATGAAATGTGAGATCATGACCTGAGTTGAAGTCAGAGGCTTAATCTATTGAGCCATCCAGGCGCCTCCTGAACTCATTTGTTCTAGTAGATTTCTTTAAGTTTATTTATTTTGAGAGAGACAGAGCTTACAAATTTGGGAGGGGCAGAGAAAGAGAGAGAGAGAGAGAGAGAGAGAGAGAGAGAGAGAGAATCCCAAGCAGGCTCCACACTGCCAGTGCAGAGCTTGATGCGGAGCCTGAACTCACAAGCCAGCAGATCATGACCTGTGCCAAAGTTGGACGCTAACTGACTGAGTCATCCAGACACCACTGTTCTAGTAGCTTTTTGTAGATTCCTTAGGATATATGATTGTGTCATTTGCAAATAAAGACAAATTTATTTTTTCATTTCTAGTTTGTATTCCTTTTATTTTTCTTATTGCATTGGCAAGAAATGGTGACAGTGGACTTTTTCTTTTTTATCTTTTCCTAATTTAGGAAGCATTCAGTCTGTTATTGTTAAGTATGATGTTAGCTCAGGTCTTTGTAGATGACTTTTATCAGGTTGAGGAAGTTCCCTTTAATTCCTAGTTTTCTTAGGATATTGGATTTTGTGAAATGCTTTTTCTGCATCTACTGAGATGAGCATTTGGTTTTTATTTGTAGTCTGTTTCAGCTAATATGGTTAATTACATTGATTGATTTTTGAATTGTAAACCAACCTCACATTCCTGAGATAAACCTTACTTGGTCGTGACGTATTATACTTTTTTGTATTGTTGGATTTAATTTCCTAAATTTTGTTGAGAATTTTTGCTGTCTATGATATTGGTCTATAGTTTTCTTTTCATGTCATTTTCTGGTTTTGGTACCAGGTTAATGTTGACTTCGATGAATGTTTATGTAGAATTGGTATCATTTATTCCTTAGATGTTTGGTACAAGTCACCACTGAATCCACCCAAGTCTTTAATTTTCTTTGTAGGAATATTTCCCCTGCCACAAGTTCAGTTTCCTTGTCGATATACAGCTATTCAAATGATCTATTTCTTCTTAGGGAGCTTTGGCAATTCACTCACGATAGTGAGCTTTTGTGTTTTTTAAGGAATTAATCCATTTCATCTAAGCTGTCAAATTTATTAGCATAAAATTGTTTCTAGTATTCCATTATTATCCTTTTAACATCTGTAGGATCTGCGGTGAGACCATCTCTAATTTCTGATAGTGGTAATTTTTGTCCTCTTTCTCTTTTCCCCTAATATGTCTGGCTACAGGTTTATCAATATTGTTGACTTTTTTCTGTGAAGAATAGATTTTGGCTGAATCTTGGAAGGCCAAGGTTGGACTAGAAATGATTGCTAGAACATCTCAGGTATATATCACTTCTTCCATCCAATTTATGCTTTAAAGACAGAACAGGATGGTAAGAGAGACTGATTCCTGATTAGAGAAGTGTATGAATATAGAAGGGGAAATTTGCACTCTGAGCTTCATGGCCCTCATCTGCCCTGATAAACTGCTGTGCAGTCAATCTGGTTTTCAGCTCGAACTCTTGGGTACTTATGCAGCCTCGCAAAGTGATTAGGGAAGGAGAACACTAAAGACTACAGTGCACTGTGGCAATAAAATAAAGAAGGCCTGAATAAGTGGAAAAACATCTCATGTTCGGGGACCCGAACATAAGGCTTTACATCATTACGATGGCAGCACTCCCCAAGTTGACCTGCAGATTCAACGTGATTCCCATCACAATCCCAGCTGGCTTCCCTGCATAAATTGACAAACTCCTCCTGAAATTCAGGTGGAAATGTAAGGGACCCAGAACAGGCAACACAATCTTGAGAAAGGAGAGCAAAATTGGAGGACTTACACTTCGCAATTCCAAAACTTACTGTAAAGCTACAGGAATCCGGGCAGTGTGGTGGTCATAAGACAGACGTACAGAGATCAGCAAAGTAGAATTGAGGTTCCAGAAATAAGCCCAGGCGTTTACAGGTTTAATGTGCAACATGGACACCAAGACTTGTGTCAGCAGAGAGAGACTTGTCTTTGCAACAAATGATGTTGGGACAAGTGGACAAACATGTACAAGAATGAGCTGGACCTCACACCCCATGTGAAAATTAACTTAAAATGTATCAAAGACCTAAAAAAATCTAAAAGAGCTAAAGCCATATAACACTTAGAAGAAAACACAGAGAAAAATCTCATGACCTCGGATTTGGCAATAGATTTTCAGATGTGACACCAAAAGCATTAGCAACAAAAGGAAAAGTATATGTATTGGGTTGTATCAGAAGTAAAAATTTTTGTATTTATTGATTTTTTTATTTTAGAAAGAGAGAAAGTCCATGAACAGGGGAGAGGGGCGGAAGGAGAATCTTTTTTTTTTTTTTTTAATGTTTATTTATTTTTGAGAGAGGTAGTGAACGAGCAGGGGAGGAGCAGAGGGAGAGGGAGAGGGACAGAGGATCTGAAGCAGTCTTTGAGCTGTTAGCACAGAGCCCGACACGGGGCTCAAACTCATGAACCATGAGATCATGACTTAAGCTGAATTTGAATGCTCAACCAACTGAGCCACCCAGGCGCCCCAAAACTTTTGTATTTCAGAGGAACACATTTCAAGAAAGTGAACTGAGCCTACAGAGTGGGAGAAAATATTTGTCAATCAGATGATAAGGGGCTAGTATCCAGGATATATAAGAACTCTCTACAACTCCACAGTAAAAAGACAATCTAATTAAAAATGGGCAAAACACAATGAATATTTCCCCAAAGAAGATGTATAGATGATAAATAAGCACATGAAAAGATGCTCCAAATCCTCAGTCATCAGCCAAATACTGATGAAACCACAATGAGAAACCACTTCACGTCTACTAGGATGGCTATAAAAAAATGAGGGACCGGCACAAGTGTTGGAGAGGATGTGGAGACAATCGGAACCCATGTACATTGTCGCTGTGGAAAGCAGTTTGGCATTTCATCAAAAGTTACACATAGAATTACCAATGATTCCATTCCTGGGTATATGTATCTAAAAGAACTGAAAACATTTGTCCACACAAAATTAAAAAAAATTTTTTTTGATGTTTTTATTTATTTTTGAGATGGAGACAAAGCACGAACTGGGGAGGGGCAGAGAGAGAGGGAGACAGGAACTGAAGTGGGCTCTGCCTGACAGCAGAGAGCCCAGTGTGGGGCTCGAACTCACAAGTGATGAGATAGATCATGACCTGAGCTGAAGTCACACTTGGCTGACTGAGCGCCCCCACACAAAAATTTTTATATGAATGTTCATAGCAACGTTGTCCATGATAGCGCGAAGGCCTCTCAACGGACGAAGGGATGAACAGAATGTGGTCCATCCACGCAACGGGATTGGTTCTGCCCCAGATAGGAATGCTGTGCTGACACCTGCTGGAGTGTGGAGGCACCTCGGAAACAGCTGAGAGAAAGCCAGCCCAGCCCGAGGATCACCTGCTGCGTGGCTACACTTGCATGAAATGTCCAGAATAGATACATCCATAAGGACAGGAAGTAGTTTGGTAGCTGCGGGGCTGCGGGGCTGCGGGGAGAGCGCTGTGTGACTGATAGTGGGTACAGGGTATCGCTTTGGTGATGAAAATATTTTGGAATTTGATTGCGGTGATGGCGGTACAACTGTGAATATAGAAAAACATCTGAACTGTGTACTTTGAGAGACTCAGTTTTATAGGATGTGAATTGTATCTGAATAAAAAACATTTTTAAATGATCGGGGAAGCATTGGGCCCCATATGCCTCAGTTCCTTTGTCTGTAAGTGGGGTCTGAGCCCCCTTTGGGATCATGGTGAGGATGAATGAAGTCCCAGAGGGACCAGAAAACGCTCCTGGGGAAAGAAAGCGGATGCCGCCCCCCAGGATGCCTCGGAGGGCTCCGAATCCCCATCAGGTGGTGCTTCTGGGAGGGGGCGTCTTGCCAGGAACCTCCCTCACCCGCTCACCTCCTGAGGTCCAGAGATGTGTGGGGAGCCACTGCCCCTCTTGCCGCTCCAGCTGCTTGAGTGACACCAGATCACTTTCTGACACCCTCTGTGGCCCGTTTCCCCGGCATTCCACCCCAGCATTTCTCCTGGGCCCTTGGAGCCCTGCACCGTCTCAGCTCATATCCGACTTTCCCCACCCGGTGATCCTTTGGCTCCAGGGCCTCACAGCTCCAAGGCCTTCCTCGCGGGGTCTGCTGGGGGACATGTGGCTCTGGGCCATCTGCATCCACACCCTTGTGGCCCCTCCTTCTCCCCACCCCCGCCTGCAGAGCCACATGGACTGTGCCCCGTGCGCCTCGGTCATGGACTCCCCGCTCAGTGCCTGCAGGTGCGGCTGAGGGAGTGGAAGCACAGTCCCCTACCCCCTCGGCCTGTCCTCTCTGGCTGTCCAGCCTGTCCTGGAAGGAGCTGATAAGCCCGTGCTGACTGGCTGTTATGTGCTGGGAGGGGCTACCGTGTTCCTGTGGTGGGAGTGACCTGGCAGCTTTCTGGGACTAGCGGTTATGTGGACACAGTCACAGGAGGGGGCCAACTGTACGGGTCACAGGTATGGCTGGTCCTGGGGCTCCGCAGCGCTCACGGCTCAGATGGCCACACGGGAGGCTCCCCTGGGCTGGTGTGGGGTGTCCTGAGTGTTGGAGCCCGAGCCTCCGGAGGGTGCAGTTGTGTGCGGGTAACAGGACCTAGTCCGTGCGTGCGCTGTCCGCCTGCTGGGTGGGCCCCGTGGGCTGCACCCGGTCAACGCCCTGGAGGGTCTGCATCGCGGTCAGGTTGGGAAAAGCCACAGGGGCTCTAGGAAAGGCTCTACGGATGGCTCTGTTATTAAGTGTCTCTCGTGGGGATGAAAGAGCAGAGTGTGGAAGCGGCAGGGGTCTGGGGGCCCCGGTCAGGTGGAGGGTCCCCAGCGCAGAGGCTCTGCCTGACTCTGACGCAGGCCCCCTCGCTTTGGGTCTCTCCATGTCAGATTCATCCAACGGTAGTAACTGGCAGGGTGTTTTTCAGAGAGCACAGGGTTTTGAAGGCGTGGCCGCCTATCTGCTGCACAATGAACAGAGGCTGCTGTAGGAGGGCAGATTTGGAAGCAGGTGTTGGGGGGGGAGGGTGGCTGCTGAGCCTGGAAACATCAGGAAGACAGTTAGACAGGATCTCCTGCCCACCTAGCAATCCTCTCCACAAACTTAGGGAAGAGTTTTATTATCAAGTAAACATTAAACCAGCCTGTGATGCAGAGGCTTCCAAGACAGCCAGGCGGACAGGACCCGTTACATGGGGCACACATGTGTTGTCGAGTCACATGAGTTACACACGTGTCGTCGAGTCACATGGGTCACACGTGTTGTCGAGTCACGAGTTACACACGTGTCGTCGAGTCACATAGGTCACGCGTGTTGTCGAGTCACATGGATCACACGTGTTGTCGAGTCACATAGGTCACGCGTGTTGTCGAGTCACATGGATCACACGTGTTGTCGAGTCACATAGGTCATGCGTGTTGTCGAGTCACATGGATCACACGTGTTGTCGAGTCACATGGATCATGCCTGTTGTCGAGTCACATGGGGCACATGTGTTGTTGAGTCACATGGATCACATGTGTTGTTGAGTCACATGGGTCAGCGTGTTGCCGAGTCACATGGATCATGTGTGTTGAGTCACATGGGGCACACGTGTTGTCGAGTCACACGGGGCACACACATGTTGAATCACATGGGTCACACACCCGTGTGTGTTGTCGAGTCAACCTGCACCCCGCCCTCAGGAGATGAGGGGACATGCCTACCTAGCCTCTCCCGATGCACCTGGTCAGAGGGGTGGGCCTTCTGGTAGGGCTTACTCTTGACCCAGGTGCCTGGCCAGAATCCCCTGGGGGAGGGGCAATACAAATAGTCCTGGGCTGTAAAACAAGCTCTTAAAGACATTTCTGTCCATCTCAAAGGGACAGAGAGAGGACTCAGGATCGCAGCTTTCTCAGGTTGCTCTAAGAGGGAAAAGAGAATAGGTCTCTCTCCTTTTTGGTGACAGAAAAGTCAAGGTTTTCTTTTCCATTTGTATTTGCCCTCACAGTGGAGGGCAGGGGATGCAGCAGTGGGGAGGAGCAGGCCATGCGCCTTCATCATGCTTGGGCCCCTTTGGGAAGCCCCGCCCAGGCCCCAGTGGCTTCACCCCAAACTTACAGCAGCTGCGTTTAGGTTGGTCCTTTTCTCAAAGTAGATCCTGGGGCATGGGCAGGAGGAAGGCGGGTGGCCCCTGACCGTCCGTGTCCTGGAGCCCCCAGCCTGGCTCACTGCCCCCGCTGCTCACAGAGATCCAGGGCTTCTCCAGCGCTGCGAAGGACGGGCGCATCGTCGGGGAGATCGCCTTCCAGCTGGACCGGCGCATCCTGGCCTATGTCTTCCCGGGAGTGACCAGGCTGTATGGCTTCACCGTGTCCAACATCCCTGAGAAGATCAAGCAGGTGTGCCTCTCCGCCCCAGGGTCCCCTCCCTGTCCTGGAGTCCCCTCCCTGCTGTGAGGACCCCTCCCTGCCCTGGGGCCCCTGTCGCCCCCACCCACGCCCGCGCTGTGCCCACCCCCACCACCCCCAGACATCCATCAAGTCCCTGGATGGGTCGGTGGACGAGAAGAAGCTTCGTGAGCTGACACACCGCTACCTGATGCTGACCGCGCGCCTGGAGAGGCTGGGTTACAACCGTGAGGTGCACCCGGTGTTCAGCGAGTTCCTCATCAACACCTACGGCATCCTGAAGCAGCGGCCCGACCTGCGCGCCGACCCGCTGCACAGCAGCCCGGCCGCGCTGCGCAAGCTGGTCATCGACGTGGTGCCCCCCAAGTTCCTGGGTGACGCGCTGCTGCTGCTCACCTGCCTGTGTGAGCTCTCCAAGGAGGACCGCAAGCCGCTCTTCGCCTGGTGAGCCCGTCCGCACCCGCCGTGCCTTGCCTGCAATAAACATGTTTGTTCCAAACCCGGGGGCCACGTGCCTCCTGCGTGTCCCCTCCGGCCCAGGGCAGGGGCCCAGTCTGCCGACAGGGCGCCCGGGGCCACAGGCGCCTCTCACCAACCGGGCCGCGCCCCGGGCACCCGGCCCGCCCGCCGCCCACCCCTGTGCGGCACTGTGGCACTTTATTAAAATCATCTGTTTTCCTGTGTACCTTTACCTTTGGCTCTTTGAAGGCGTGGAGGGCGTAGCAGGAGGTGCCTGCTGGTATTTGTGGAAAGAAGCCAGGACCGAGCCTTCAGGGCAGGGGGCTGTGGCTCTGGCCAGGCTCCCAGACCCTCCGGCCCTCAGGGCCTTCCCCATGACCCCATTACCATCCTCTGAGGTCTGTCTCCTCCCTTGAAAGGGCCAGTGGCTGGTTTCCCCAAACGGAGAGGCTGAGGCAAGGATCCGGATGCTGGGGGGACAGCAAGAGAATCTGCAGAGCTCTGTGAAAAGTGAAAACACAGGTCTCTTGTTCAAAAGTAGGAATTTCAAGAAGGTGACAGCAGCGTGTGGGATAGAGAATAGGGCCCATGCACACAGGCCCATCCTGTGAGGATTCCTGGGAGGCTATTTATTTGAGATGATTTGATGTACCCCACCCCTTGACCCCTGCTGGAGCCATCAGTTCCCTGTCTCTCCTGGGGTCTTAAGGACAGGTGACCTTCTGGGCCCACGTGAGGACCAGGGCCTGGTGCTGGCACCTTCCTGGCCTTGACTGTGAGTAGAGGGTCTCTGGTCACTTCTCTGCTGGTGGTGTGAGGACCGTCCCTCGGTCCTCACAGCCTCTGGTGTCCCAGGTGTCCAGCACCTTAGGGCACAGCTTGGGCAACTGTAACGAGCACCACAGACCAGGGGCATTCGGACAACACACATTTATTTCCTCCTCGTGCCGGAGGCTGGACACCTGAGGTCCAGGTGGTGGCAGGGCTGGTCCCTCCTGAGGCCTTTCCTGGCCGTGTGGGTGCAGCCTTCTCCCTGGGTCCTCACATCCTTGTCCCCTTGCATGTCTGTGTCCTGATTTCCTCTTCAGGACAGCGGTCAGAGGGGATTAGGGTCATCCTATGACAGACATAATTTTAGCTTTATTACCTCTTTCAAGACCCTGTCTCCAAATACAGCTAATTCTGAGGTGCTGGGGAGTCGGGGCTTCTACCTATGATTTTGGAGGTGGGCACGATTCAGTCCACAACTGACGCCATCCTCCCCTTCCAGCCACGGGACGCCCACCCCCAGCTGAGGGACTCTCTGACTTTGGGGGTCTCTGCAGGGCACACACAGGTCTGGCACCTGGGCTGTTGGAGGAGGGACTGGTGGTGGGCACTTCTGGGATGCAGGCTCTCTCTGGGTGAGCCTTGGCGTTAGCAGCCGGGTTTGGAGGAATGTTTCTATTGGGTCTTTGCTGTCTGCCGGGTGCTGCTGGGGCTCCCCTGTGACCGTGCTGGACCCGGGAGTGGAGCAGCCATCGTCTGCGTCCACCCAGGGGAGTCGTGGCTGGAGATGGTCTGGCCCGCCCCCAGCCTCCGGGGTCTCTGGGCTCGCCTGGCTGCTCCAGGGCTGACGCTGGAGAGGTGGGGTCCCGCAGCCCACACAGCTGGGGATCCACGAGATCCGGGCATCTCCTCACCTGGGCCCTGTGGCTACCCTGCACTGCCACGGCTGTGTGGGTGCCTGTGCCCGGGAAGAAGGCAGATGGGGTATGGTCTGCCTTTGGGGGGGTCCCTGCAGGGGGATTGAGAGTGCCCTGAGAGGCGGGGCAGAGGTGAACCTCAGGTTTGAGGTATCTGTACACTGCTGGAGTGGCCACGAGAGGTGGCTTTGCAGACTGGAAGTGCCCACCCTATTCAAGATGGCACCGACTCCAGCTGGGCCCTCTGGGTGCAGGGCCCTGGGCTGCTGGCCTGAGCACATCACTTCTTTGTGGGGAGCCTCTGGCCTCGGGGGACAGCAGCCAGCGACTGGGAGAGCCGGAACTTCGTCGTGAGCACTTGCTCCCCAAGGGCATCCGCACATGTGCACACACTCGATCTCTCCCTGCCCTTCTCCTGCCTGGCCAGGCTGAGCTGCCCTCCACCAAGAGCCTCGTCCACTGGTGGCGTCTCACACACGATCCCTCTCATCTGCTTGCTGCCTGAGGCTGACGAGTTGACGTGAAGAAATCGGGGCTCAGTAGGTCACCTGGAGGGCCACATGGAGGGTTGCGTGAAGGGTCACCTGGAGGGCCACATGGAGGGTCACGCAAAAGGTCGCTTAGAGGATGAAATGGAGGGTCACCTGAAGGGTCACATGGAGGGTCGCGTGGAGGGTCACGTGCAGGGCCATGTGGAGGGTCACGTGGACGGTCTCTTAGAGGATCAAATGGAGGGTCCCCTGGAGGGCCACGTGGAGGGTCGCGTGGAGGCTCACACGGAGGACCACACAGACAGTCCTCAGGAGCGCCGGGACGAGCTGGGATTGGAGCCTGGACTGGCCTGAGTCCACTGCCTGGAGAGGGTTTACTCCCCACCCCTGCTGAGGTCCTGCTCTTGGCTGGGTATGGGGATCCCTCCCCTTCCATTGTCTGGCTCACAGGGGTCCTGCTCCCTTCCCAGCTGCTCTGCGTTTGCGCAGGGACCACAGCCTGTGGTTAATAAGCAGCCCGGCCCCCATGGGAGGGCCCCGCCAGGTGGATAAAGGCCCCGCCAGGCACTGCAGAGCACCGTCCCTCCTTCCCTCGGTCTGCCCCGTGAGAGGAGTACCGGGATCGAGGCCCAGACCATGTCCCAGCTGGTGGAATGTGTTCCCAACTTCTCCGAGGGGAACAAGCAGGAGGTGAGGTGCCGGGGGGGGGCCGGGCTAAGCAAGTGGCCCGGGGCAAGGAGAAAGAGGTGTGCTTGGTTCCCGAAACAGAACCACTTCTTGTCAGCCCCGCAGGGATGGGTCCCATGAGCACTGGGACAGAGATGTGGCTGATGGGTGAGGAGGAGACTGTGGGATGGGCAGTCAGGCAGGGGTCCTGGACCTGGGTCTGCGTCACAGGGAAGTTGGAAGGTCTCCAAACCTTATCAGGTGGACTCTGACATTATCCCCATGTCAGCCACGAGGAAACTGAGGCACAGAGAGTTGGTGCAGGCCACTGAGGGCCACGGAACAATTTAGGCCCTGAGCCCCTGCTCCCAACCACTGGGCTGCTGCTGCCTCAGAAGGTTCTGGGCCGTTCATGGCCCTCCCCTAGTGCAAATGCTCCCACTAGGGGCTGCATGGGGAAGCTAGGGCCCTGACCTCTGTGACCTTGGCCTATAGGTCACCTTCTGGGAGCCCCAGCAAGCCCTCCATCCGGATTCTGACTCCTGCCTCGGTTTCTCTTGGAGGGTGCCGCCTGTTGCCTCCTTCTTGGCAACCATAGCTCGGTGGTAGGCCTCTCTGGGCTTGTACTCTGAGGAATTCCCAAATGCTCGGCACCAGCTCCTTAGGCCCATGTTTGGGTGGTGGTTGGGGTGGCAGGAAAGGCATGCCTACCTCTGAAGCTCCTGTTCTCTCTTCCAAGTGGGGAAACTGAGGCACAGTGTCGGACTTTCATCCCCAGGTGATTGACGCCATCTCCCGAGCCGTGGCGCAGACCCCGGGCTGTGTGCTGCTAGATGTGGACGCGGGCCCCTCCACCAACCGCACCGTCTACACCTTTGTAGGGCAACCCAAAGACGTGGTGGAGGGGGCCCTCAATGCTGCGCGGGCTGCCTTCCGGCTCATCGACATGAGCCAGCACAAAGGTGAGGGGCCAGAGCACCAGGCTGTCTGTCCTCACCCACAGGGTTTGGCTCAGGGCATAGGGGCCGAATGGCCTGTGAGCTTACCCTTGGGGGACCCCCGGGACACAGAATGTGTTATGCCGGGCAAAGGTCCGTGGCACCTCCACCCATGTTTTGGGGGTTCCCTGTGCATGAGTGGCGGTGAGACTGTGGCATTCTGTTCAGGCCTAGGGGCCTTGGGGGGCAGGGAGGCAAAGACTCGGAAACCGGCCTGTCAACAGCCTGCAAAAGCAAACACATTTACTGTGGCAGGCAGGGTCAAAGGTTGGTGGACACAGGGAGCTGGTCAAAAGGGCAGGGTCTCTGGCCACTCACAGTGGGGGGAGGTGAGGCCCCACTTGAAGGGAATCCACAAGTGATCCCAACTGGTAAAGTTAGAAAGCTTATCTCAAAGCCAGGAGCTCCCTGAGGGGGGGGTGGGGGAACGTGGCGGGTGAGGGGGCTCATCATCTTGGGGGGCTGCTGACCACAGCTTGTCTGACCCACAGTGGGGGTTCTGGTTTTGAAAAGGACGCTCTGCTAGCTGCCCAGGGCCAGGGGGTGGCGGGGAGGGCTGGGCGGCAAGACCAGCCAGGCAGGACTCTGAATGCTCAGCCTGGCAGCCCCGGGCAGTGACCTTTGTGGCTTTCAGGAGAGGGAGGGGTTTACACAAAGACGCTGCTTCCCCGTGGGGCAGCGTGACCAGCTGGGTGTGTGGATGGAGGGCAGGTTGGGGGCAGAAGGTGCGGGGTCCAGGAGCCACCCACCCCTGGCCTCCCCTTCCTCAGCCCCCATCTCTCTGCAGGGGAGCACCCTCGGATGGGAGCCCTGGACGTGTGCCCCTTCATCCCAGTGAGGGGCGTCACCATGGATGAGTGTGTGCTCTGTGCCCAGGCCTTTGGCCAGCGACTGGCGGAGGAACTGGGTGTGCCGGGTGAGTGCTCATGTCTGGGGTTCCCCCTGCTGGTCCCTCACTGCACTTCAGTACCCTCATGGTTCTCTGCTCTTAGCTCCTTAAAAATGCAGTTTAACACAAAAAAGTCTGCAAACTGACCTACAGGGAAATGTCCTGCTTCTTCCATAACGAGATAAACACAAATAGAAACCATGACCAAGTGCACCCGGGGTCAGGGAGCCAGTGGCCCTCACGTGCTGCCCGGCAGCAGACACTGCTTAGCTGTTTGTGAAGTCCAGTCCGGGCTTGCTAATAGAATCGTCTCACTTTGGGGAACTCACCCAAGTCTTTGAGTGGCATGTCTGAGCTCACCAAGTAGATGCCATGAGCAAAGCTCCCCCCACCGGGCTGGAAAAATTTATGGACAAGAAATTATTATTGAAATTAAATGGTGGCAGACACTCCCAAGGAAACTGTGGGGGGGTTGATCCCTTCATGAATCTTGTGATAGATGA